TCATTGTACAGCCTCTCCAGAGCTTTTGTTACCATTTACAAACATTTACACATTGTTTGTCCAATCCAATCTGTAATACTTGTGTAAAGTTTGGGAACAGTTTGCCTTCACTTCTGACAACAGAATTTTGGGATCCTAAAGACCACATTTAGGTTCAGTAATTTGTGAGAAGAACCCACTAAAGCTATTATATTCACAGTTACAATTTATTACACAAAAGGATGATATAGATTAAAACTGGCCAAGGAAAAAAGACACAAAGGGCAGAATGCAAAAAGATTCCAAATGTGCACTGTCCTCACTCAGTGAAGACAAAGACAAATTTTTTTTGGGGGGGGAAGGAGGGTGCCAGGGAGAAAGGGGTGGTACTAGGGATTGAATTCAGGACCTTGTGCTTACTAGGGAGGTGTTCTAACTCTTGAACCACACCCCAAGTCCTTCTGTTTTTCTGGCTGGCCTCCAACCTTGATCCTCCCACCTCCGCCTCTTGAGCAGCCAGGACCACAAATATTGTGCTTATTTTTCAGATAGGGTCCCACTAACTTTTGCCCAGGCCTGCCTTGAACCTCAAGTAGCTGGGATTCTAGGTGTGTACCACCAACCTTGGCTCAAGGACATCATTAACTCCTATCGGGAGTGATGTGTGACAAAGTACAAAGAATACTGCAACCAGGAATGCTCACTCCAGCCTTGGTGTCCATAGTGACTGATCTCAGTCTCCAGCCTCTCCAGAGATCAAGCTTATGATGTGACCCAAATCCCTGACAGCAAGTCACACTGATAAGACTAACTGGTGTGGTCCAAGGCTCCCAGTAAACAAAGACACTTTTTAGAAAGGATGTTCTAAGGGTCTAGAAATCACCTCCCAGAGAAGCAACAGGGAAAGCCATACCTCTCTTTGGGCAACAATCCTAGATTCTGACTTTTAAGCTGTCTTCTTAATATCCCCACCAAGAGCCATGCTCTCCAAAATTTTCCCCAGACAGTTGTGACTTACTTCATTGTTTCTGGGTTATTCTCCCACTTCCTTTTTTCAAAAACCTTCTTTAATTAACAAGTTTTAGCTGTAGGTATGTACAATGTAATATTTAAATATATATGTAACACTTTTTTCTAATAAGGAACTGAGGTTAGCTTATAAAAACTGTAATATAATATATAAAAAATTTTAAAAATCAGGGCAAGGAAAAAGTGGCCCAGAAAAAGTAAAACAGAACAATGCTATGGTGAAGTTAGGACACAGAATGCACTGCTATAACTTACTGTTCATTTGTTCAAGATGAATTGCATATTTGACTCTGACCTTTTTCATGACCAAACAAGACCAAAGCACAGAAGAAATTACAAGTAGCTTGATAATTCAGAGTCCATTAAAATAAATAATACCCAAAGGCACTACTCTTCTTCTAGTTAACTCCAGGGTTTGCAACTTTTCACTGTTGCCATTCATATTCAACAACCTGTCAAGCTAAAGATATTACCTCCATGAAGTTGTTTGCTTCAGTTTTCCCATATCTATCTATCTATCTGTATGTCTGGCTGGCTGGCTATCTATCTATCTATTTTCTCTTTCCAACATCAGTAATGCAAGATTTCAAATTCTTTTTTTCATTTTTCTTTTATTATTCATATGTGCATACAAGGCTTGGTTCATTTCTCCCCCCTGCCCCCACCCCCTCCCTTACCACCCACTCCGCCCCCTCCCGCTACCCCCCCTCAATACCCAGCAGAAACTATTTTGCCCTTATTTCTAATTTTGTTGTAGAGAGAGTATAAGCAATAATAGGAAGGAACAAGGGTTTTTGCTGGTTGAGATAAGGATAGCTATACAGGGCATTGACTCACATTGATTTCCTGTGCGTGTGTGTTACCTTCTAGGTTAATTCTTTTTGATCTAACCTTTTCTCTAGATCCTGGTCCCCTTCTCCTATTGGCCTCAGTTGCTTTAAGGTATCTGCTTTAGTTTCTCTGCGTTAAGGGCAACAAATGCTAGCTAGTTTTTTAGGTGTCTTACCTATCCTCACCCCTCCCTTGTGTGCTCTCGCTTTTAGCAAGATTTCAAATTAATCTTCCTTAACTAAAGGACATCCTTCTACAAAAAGTTTTCTTTTAAAAATATTTTTTTTTCTATTTACAAAGAAATACATGCTCAATGAAGAAAACCAAGAGGTTAAAAAAAACAAAACAGAAATCTCACAATCCAGATGTAATTATCACGAACATTTTAATTGAGTTAAAGTTTACATACAATTAGTCAAAAATCTCATACATATAGTTCCCTATTTGACAAATACATACTCCCTCATCAACTCTTAGCACCAACAGATCTATCAAGAGTTAGATCTCCTCAGTCTCCATAAAAGAAATGTAGTCAGGCCCTATCTAATAAGTTCAAGAACATCTATTACTTTTTAATTAAACTTGTATACAAGCACTAGTGGTTTTAAGTAAAAGAACTGTGACCAAATAAAGGATGTCCTTACTGATATCAAAAACAATGGAAATGAAAGACAATTTCTATAAAATGCTTGAAGCTGCATGACACCATTTTAATAAAGAAAACAGGTATTTTCGGTCAGGGTTTTTCAATCTTGGCATTACTAGACATTAGGACCTGATAATTTTACTGCAGGGAACTATCCTGTGCACTGTAGGATGCTTAGCAACTTCCCAGGACTCTACCCAATCGATGACAGTTGAGTGACCTCAGTTATGGAAATCAAAAATGCATCCCAACATTCACAAATGGACCCATAGGGGCAAAATTACCCCAGTGATATAGAACAACCAACATTACCTGTTTTGTACGTTATCATTTCTAATGTAACTTTATATAAGTACTGTTTTTTTCTTTAAGGGGAAAAAAAAAAAGAAAAGAAAAGAAACCCTGAAGCAAGCTGGATGTGGTGGTGCACATCTATAATTCCACCACTCAGGAGGCTGAGAATTTTAAGTTCAAGGCCAGTCTGAGCCTTGAACATAGCAAGACCCTGTCTCAAAAATCAAATAAAAAGCAGTGACACACACACACACACACACACACACACAAAACTTGAAGCTATTAAAGCAGTTTAAGTATTGGACTTCAGAGTCAGGAGGAAGGGAAAGGTTTAAAAGCCACTAAAAACTTATAAACACCAACATTAAATTTTGAGAGCTATTAAAATTCAATCACTCTATACTTCCCACAGATGAAAGTAGATGCATGTAGATAAGGAAGTCACTTAACATGTTTCTAAGTGTGTAAATACTCATTTATCTTATGATTTGAAGAAGATACTGCCCCTCTGCTTCTACAGACACAAGCTATATGCTGTTCAAATATGGTTATCATGTAAGAATTCTGGAGCATTATGGACAATTTTAAGAAAGTTTAAAGTAGAAACAAAGGACCTGTATTCTAGTTTACAGGTCCTTCATATCTGTCAACCTGTTTACACAACAAGCTCTCTCAGGCACACATATGGCATCAGCACTCCAATCCATCTCTTAGTTGTAGCCTAAGGCTAGAGAAAATTCCTTTGTCAGAACAAAAAATATTTACTGCACCAGGAACGGCTCAAATGCAGTAGGACTAACAAAGTACATAACCTTTTACCACCAGGAACTTTTCAAACTAGTGAAAAGGAGATCATAAACAATCATAAAAATAAATGCATAATTATACACCATGATGAGTGCAATGTGAGAGGAATACTGTGAGCAATAAAGACAGGCAATGCTGACTGAGGGGGTGGAGGGAGGCTAAGTAAACACCTGCCCCCTCCATAAGAAGGCAAGCAGAAAGCTAAGGTGATCAGTCATCAATGGGGTCAGCAAGAAGAGACAGAGGGGAATGCAGAAGAAACAAAATTCATATTCCTTAAGAATCTTTTACGTCTCAGGTAGTAGGCCACATACTTCATGTTTATCCCATATTAATTCTCATAAATATCTTAAGTAGTAAGATGCTATTTATGCATTCATTAGAAGTGGTATTCTTATATCATGGATTCAGACAACCAAAGCCTAAAGAGAAGTAACTTATCCAAGGAAACAGAGCCAGGAAGTGACAGAGCCAGATCCTGAACTCTGGTCTTTCAGCCTATAATCCTCCTAGAGAGTTATGGTTAAACAAAGTCCCAATGGAGAAAGGACAAGAAAAGTCCCACTTCAAAGAGGATAACAAGGCAAGGAGACAAGAACAGCAAACAATGCTTTAGCAGAAATTTAAATAGTGGCCATTTTGTTAAATGGTAGAGGGTTTACGATTTTGAATAGGGAAGACTTGTAAAAATGAAGTAGTCAGATCAGACACAATTTGGCTGGTAAAGAATGACTAAAAATAGCAGTGACCCAAAGACTTCAGGCGGCTACTGCCCACTGATAGGGTTCCAGGTGACATCTGCCCCTGCCCCCAAAGCGTCTGCACCTCCTAAGGTGAACAAGGATTTCTTTTACAAAGAGAAAAGTTATGTGGTATGTTTTGTTGTTGTTATTTTATTGTGTTTTGGGAGAACTGGGAAGTGGCCAGCAGAGCAGACGGGTTACTCCAGGAATGAAGAAAACAAAAACAAAAGGAACAGGTGGAGTGACAGAAGACACAAGATGCCTCAGCCTAAGTACAACATGATACCAGCCTGAGAAAGCAGCCCTCCCCTTCCCTTCTCCCCCTTCTTAAACAACTTAGTCCAAAACCCATTAGGCATGCTACCAACAAAGGATGTTGGAGCACAAGTCAGGAAAGAAGGAAAGGGAGTGTCAGCAACTGATGACTCATCACACACACACACAGAAATTAATCACCTGTATAAACATAATGTGATGATGAGAGCCTGGTCTCTTGCAATAAAAAAAAAAAAAAGAAAGAAAGAAAGAAACTACAAAAATGGAAGGAAAGAAGAAAATTGGACTGCATTCTCTGGTATTTTAGTGGACTAAGAGGTATCAGATTAAACTCATGGATTTCAATATATACACAGATGGATAAAGAATTAAATATAAACATAAAGGAAGCATGTGTCCCTAGCTTTGTACAAAGATCTGGAAGCAACAGTGATAATTACTATTCTTATTGAAGTAATTGCAATTACCTTAATAGTAATAAAACATCATTAATGGCTAGATCATGCTTTCAAAATATTATTCTTCATTGAAAACAACCAGGGGTCTTATGGAAAGAGTTTATTCTAGGGCTGGGGTGGAGAAATACAAGATGAACCTGGACTATATTATTGCACTTGAAGGTAAAGAAGTGGTCAGGAATGACAAAGATGTTTCAAAAGAACACAGTCTCAACTAAAGGGGCTCCTAATGACCAAATTTAGGGTGATCAGAGTATCAAAAACAAGTAAGAAGGGTAACTCATTATAAAACCCACTGAAAAAAAAACAGAAATCCACAATGAGTGAGTCTATCTGAGATAAAGTCAGACAACTGGGGCAAGGGTTGGAGATGTTGACTGAGATATTTAAATGAGGTCTCAACTCTCCACAAAATCTATTTATCAATTAGTAAGGAGAAAGAGTAGAGATATCTGACAAACAGCAGCTTAATGGAGTGATGAAATCACTACATCAATTTTTTTGATAAAAATCACTGTATCAAAAAAATCAAAACTGTGTACTACCACTTGATAGGATGTGCTGCAGAACACAGTATCACTTCTGGGATATTCCAAACTGAGAAACATTACATAAACTACATTTTATCTTCAAAAATGTCAAGGATATGAAAGCTAAGAAAATACTGAAGAACTGCTCCAAATACAGGAGATTAAAGAAGAAAACAAAACATAATGGTTCTGCCATAGATTCACTTCATATAAAGGGCAAAATTAGGCATGCAAATCCTAAATGAACTCTTTGGAGGGTTGACTAGTATTAACAATGTTAAATTCCTGATCTTGATGGTTGCATTGTAGATCAGAAGAATGTACTTGATTATAGGCAAATATAACCAAGTATTCAGAAGTGGTAACACATCATTACTAACTTAAGCTCAACTAGTTCTGGAGGAAAAAAGCTATCTCTTCTACCCATGAAGAAAAAAATGTGAAGGCCACAGTTCTTATCCCAGACACTCCCAATCAATTTCTTGAACTCTTTTAGGGTTTGGATTTTTTATTAAATTTCCATTTTTGTAGAGCTAGGGATCTAACAGAGCCTTGCACATTCTAGGAAAGCATGGGGTTTGAATCATAAATGTATGGTTACAGATTGCAGACTTAGTCATCAGACTGTGGAGCTACTGGGAACTCGTGGAACATTTAGGAAGTTGGTCCTACTGGAAGGAAGTTAGGCCACTGAGTGGGGTGTCCTTGAAGGGAATATTAGGACCCAAGCCCCCCTCTCTCTTTCTACTGGCTACCACGAGGTAAACAGCTTTCCCCATCCTACCCTCTAGTCATGATACTCTGCTTCAACACAAGCACAAAGAAACAGAGCCAAGAGATCATGGACTGAAAACTGAAACCAGGAGCCAAAATAAACCGTTCCCTCCTCTTAAGTTGACTATCTCAAGTATTTTGTCACAGTGACAGAAATATGACTAACATAGACTTCTTGAGTATATTTATGTCAGTTATCGTAGACAAACTGTGGTCTATTACCACAAAATTCATAGAGTATGGCATCCAACACATGCAATGCTAACTACAGGACAAGTCATTTACCAAATTTAAGGATGTGGACAGACAGAAAAAAGTCCTTACCATTTCTAGCATATTTTATTAGGGTTGACCTTAATACTCTTAAGATGTTCAGAGTTTAGTGAATGTTACCTACAATCAGCCCTGTTACTTTTTATCTTAGCCCTCTGATTTGGGGATGGGATCTCTCCTGAGATAGTAAGGGAATGAGAATACTGGCTACAACTCCTGACCCACATGGAGAGCCAAGTGGAGAGCTGACAATGTTCATGCATTCCAGCATGGTAGAGTCTGTTTGCTAAAAAGAACAGCTCCAGAAGTGTTCTAATCTACGTGTTTTGGAATCTAATTTACGTGTTTTAAAACCTGTAGCAAATAAACTATCTGCCAGCCACTGTGCAGTTCAGAATTCCAAGAAATCTACACAAAGTATGGAGTCTAGATCATACTGACGTGAATATTCATCACACAACATGCTTGCCCTTTATGACTTTCAACTACATACTTTTGGTCTTAACAAAGCATCAGTACAAGAACACTCCACATGAATAGTTTCTATGTCTTCTGTGCAATCAGAGCTGAAAACAAAATCCACTATGCCACACAATAGCAGAACCCACAGAATGTCTTTTTCGATAAGTACAATGCCAGGAAAAGTCCCTTTCTGCAAACAAATGGGCATGCTTTCTTTCCAAAGACAATAAACAGTATGCAATTCAATGCAATACAGAGAAGGGAACCTTCCCTTTTAGCCTAACAGCCAGAAAGCTCAAAGTGAAATACAAGATTTAAAAATAAGCTCCCCTCTCAAGCCTGGTACCTTCTCCTTCATATGTTCCTCTTAGATCATTTATTATCTCCCTTACCTGTAACTGTATCCAATTAAACGCTTTTGAAAATACCTAGAGCATGTACACATGTACATATTTGCTAACTCTTAATTTTCATCTCATCATTTACATTTTCTGATATTGTTCTATAGTCAGTGAACAAGGAAGCTAATTTAATAAAGACCATTCCACAAACTACTGGAAAGCCCCATGAGGACAATTAACCCATGCTACCATGCCACCATATCACCTTTGCAATAATCTGCAGGATCCTCCTGTTCCTCATCATCTGATCCCAGGATCTCCTCCTCTGGTTCTGGGGGTGTTGGGTCTGGCAGCGGTGGTGGCGGTGGTGGTGGTGGTGGAGGAGGAGGAGGAACTAAAGGAGCTTTCTGTTGAGGCTCCGGCCTGAAACAGTAGAAAGAAAATTTCAGTTTACTCAGAAGTAAATATTAGATTATGGAAACATTTGGCAGTTTCTTAATAGGGGAAAAAACTTGAGAAGAAATGATTAATGGCATTTCACCTACTCAGTTGAATTCAAGTAATGTTTCATCACACAAGTCAAGGAGGGGAATTATCCCCTTATTAACTAAGGAATATTTTTACAGACATCTTTTTACTCAGAGCTTGACAATGCTATGGAATTTCAGTGAAATGAAAGAGTATCCCATGATAATCAGTTTTATTAGTTAGAAAACATCCTGCACAGATTATAAAAAGGCAAGTGCAAACAGCCCTGAACTTATTTATAAAGGGGTTTATTTCCTCTTATTTGAAAAATCAGAATTTCCTTCCCAGAGAAAAAGAAGGAATATGATTAAGTTTTCAGGATAACTCATAAAAGGTGATTAATATATACTATACCTAAAGTATGCATATTTACTTAAGAATCACACTACCTATCAACCTTACTTATCAAGAATGCTGTCCCAGACTGAAGGTATGGCTCAAGTGGTAGACAACTGTCTGCCTAGCAAGTACAAGACCCTGAGTTTAAACCCCAGTACTATTCAAACAAACAAAACACCTGTCCAAGGACTGAGACTAAAGCTCAATGGTAGAACATTTACCTAGCAAATGCAAAGCCCTGTGTTCAATTCCTAAACCTCAGGAAAACAAAACAAAAAGTAATACACAATAACAATAAAAAAGCTACCCAAAACCAGAAATTAAATTTAACAAGCCCAATGTTAGTAAAGCACAAATACAGTTAACACACTATACATGATTTGCAAAGGCCATTCCTAAATGTCCCAAAAAGACTAATAATGTTTAGTGTACTCTTTTACAGAGTACAGAAAAATCCAGAATACAAGGAGAAAAAAAAGTTTGAGGACTTAAAAGATCTAAACATATGATACCTAGAATAACCCACACATTTCTTTCTTTTTTTCATTTTTCTTTTATTATTCATATGTGCATACAAGGCTTGGTTCATTTCTCCCCCCTGCCCCCACCCCCTCCCTTACCACCCACTCCGCTCCCTCCCCCTCCCCCCCCAATACCCAGCAGAAACTATTTTGCCCTTATTTCTAATTTTGTTGTAGAGAGAGTATAAGCAATAATAGGAAGGAACAAGGGTTTTTGCTGGTTGAGATAAGGATAGCTATACAGGGCATTGACTCACATTGATTTCCTGTGCGTAACCCACACATTTCTTAATTACATTTGCTTAGAAGTAAAATACTTGTAATGGAATTCTATAAAACCAAGCTTGTACATACTACAAAAGTTAATTACTATTTCTAACCATGTCCTAATGGGGAAAACATGAACCTAGTGTTTCAACCTGGATGCCAGAAGCCAATCTTCTCTTCAGCAGCCTTCCTAATGCAGCTGCTATTGCTCTCCCTGAACTGCCATCAGCATTGTGGGTGAAAAGTGGGCTAGGAACAGATACCAGTGGCAGGGGCAAGGGCACTGGGCTGATGAGGGTGATCTGAAGAGGTATATTAGTAGGGTGAAGTTGGAAGTCCCTAGTTGTGGAGAACATGGAGAAGCCCAGTGGCACTGATGTGGTAGACAAGAGCCACTTCCTGCCTGCCCAGTATACATTTTCTTTTTCTAAATGTACCTATATTTCCTTTGGGGCCAGTACTACTCGCTACATGATGGAAAGGTGATTCCAGATCTTTTCTCTCTTCAAACAGGACAGCACAGACACCCAGCCAAAGCTCACTCTCCAGAACTGGAAATTTGACAGGGTCAGCTGGCACCAGGAGGGATAGTAGTTCATTCCTGGATGTTCTGAAGAGCCAGGGCCAGAGAAAACACCCTAACTGTTGCCCTTACTAAGCTGGACCTCAAAATCCGAGTGCCCCAACTGTCTTTTACTATGGTGCCTTTAGCCCAAGGTAAGTGTAGCTAATTTATGCAGCTTGCCAACAACAAAAAATCACATTGTCACAACTGAGAAAAGGAAGAGAAAAGTTGAGAGGTACAAAAACACCAAAAGTAATGAGAAAGGGTGGGGACTACACATAACATAAAAACTGAAAGGCAAATACTATCAAGTACGATTACCTTTGGAGGACAACCAAAAAAACAGTTCTAAGTAAAAATTTATGAAGATTCAAACTTACAGTTCCATAGATAACAGATGATATGTGTGGTGGCAATAATGTTCTGAGTTTAGCCATCAGACATGATAGGGCACTGAAAAGAAGAATTTCCTCTTCACTTGTTACCCCCTTCTCTGCTCCCTCTCTCTCTCTCCTCTCTCTCTCTCTCTCTCTCTCTCTCTCTCCCCTCCCCCCCCCGCCTCTGTCACACACATACACCCCACTTCCACAATGTATCTGAAAATTCCAACATGCCTTAGGGAAGGTAACAATCTGGCAGCTTTTTGTGCATGCTTATTTTCTTTTTAACAGACATGCCTGTCCCAGGCATAAGGGAGTTCTCAGGAGGAGAAGGCAGGAGAGAACTGCCACAGTTATCACTTCTTTTCAGGCAAGAGTTACAGATGAGTCTGAAAGGGATGCACAACTCATTCTCCAGGGGTGTGGGCAACATTTATCTGACCACTTCGTTCAGTCATAAATACTTTGAAAGGTGGCTCTATCTTCCTTACTCAGAAACTTTACAAGGGGGGAAAAAATGAGTAGATTCTCTGAAATTAAAACACAGAAACCACTTAATGGTGGGGGAGGGAGGGTAGAAGGATCCTACTCTATGAGTACAGGACACTTTTGTGCCAGGTTAATTCAGTGTTGTGGAAGCTGTTTGATGCCTTCAGCCTGTCTATAGCACCCCTCTCCTCAATTGTGACCATCAAAAATATGTTCGGACATTGACAAATGTCCCCCAAGGGGGCAAAATCATTCCCAATGAGACCTGCGGCATTAGCAATATTTTCTATAGATAGCTTTACCTCAGTGGAGTAGTCTGTATCTCTGTGATCAGGGAGAAGAGACTCTAATTTTCACTGCTCAATTTTCTCTTACTTGAAAGGCTCAGACACCTTCATTATAATGTGTTTCTTAGTTATTCTTTCTTTTTCTTTTTCTTTTTTTTTTTTTGTGCTACTGAGGCTTGAACTTGAGCTGCTCCACCAGCCCAATTTTTTGTGATAGGGTTTTTTCCGAGATAGGATCTCATGAACAATTTGCCTGGGCTGGCTTCGAACCATGATCCTCCTGATCTCTGTCTCCTAAGTAGCTAGGATTACAGGTATGAGCCACTGGAGCCCAGCTCTCAGTTATTCTTTATCCAACTGCTCAGGTGCCCACATAGTTTAACAAAATTCATAGACTCTGGTCTAAGAAGTAAAGCACTTCACATTCTTCCCACTGAGGACTACATTAAACAGACAGATAGAAAGCTCTTTAAAAGCCAGTTCTACCAAAATAAAGAGATGCATCAAGATTCTGTGAAGTATACAGGAGTTGAGTAATGTTGATGTAATAGGTTCAATTAGCTATCACATCAAAATATCTAGAACTGTGCTGACCAGTGCAGCCACTGGCTTCAGGTAGTTACTGGGCAGTTGAAATGTAGTAGTTCAAATTGAGATGTGCTGGAAGTATAAAATACCTACTGGATTTCTAAGACTTAATATAAAAAAGGTAAAATATTTTATTAATGATTTTATATTACATGTTAAAATGTTTTATGTAAGTTAAAATATATTACTGACAATAATTTCACATGATTCTTTTTTATATATAAAGTTTTAGACTAATTCATTTCACAATTTATTATGGGCAGAAAAGTAGTATCTGACCATAAGAGAAAAAAATCTGTATTTTGATTCTAGAAAGCCCACTTAAGTTTCACGTCAAAGTAAGCATATTATAATTTGCCTTATAATCATATCCTTGTTTTATTTCATCTTAATAATATTTTTAAAGTGCATTCCCACTAATACTTTGCTGATTTACAGCATACAAATCAAGAGAAGCCAGTTTGCTTCCAAGTTTTTATCAAGATATGCAATCTTTTTTTCTAGGTAATTTGCAACTTCTAAGTCTCTTCTATGAAACCATGACAGTTTCCATGGTATTTATATTTCAACACTAGAAAAGAATTTATGGTGGGTGATAAACAATAGTTGTAACAGGTAGTTAGGAAGCCCTCAAGCTCTTATCGTATACCTTTTGTTCTGAGCATGATGCTTACACCATCTTTCTGCCCTGAAAGTGTCTTTTTCCAAGTGAGTTAGTTTTGCATAGTTGTAAATTATTTGAGTGTCAGAAGCAAAGTTCCTGAGCTATACTTTTACAGTGATTGTTAGAAGAATATTTAACCACAGCATACACTGGTATATTCATGCTCACATGTTTATTGGGTTTTATTCTGTTTTTTTCTTTTCTTTTCCAAATGTCATGATCTCACTGCTAATTAGAACTACAGTATTAAGGGTTTTTTTTTTTTTCCATTTTATTAGGATATATTCATTGTACAGGGGAAACTCACTGTGACAGTTCTGAATAACCTACAGTCACATGATTCTTTTACTTAGGCATATATATTTCTACCAAATGGCTTTATTCTAAACCCTACAGATTTGCCCTGTACCAGAATGGCAGGTGGGCCTCATATTTGGATTTGTTTCTTCTAAAGATTTTCTTAATGGCTTACTTCATTGTAACTGACACCAATTCTGAAACCACTCTGCTCATCATAGCAAGTATTAGTTCAATGTAAAAGTAAAATGCTGTAGATTCTTTCTCAACCCATCCATCCTTATTACTAGGGCAGACACACAGACCCATACCATACTACCTGATGGCAGACTGGCTTCTTCAAAGAGGTATCTAGAGTACTGTAAAGACTGCTTAAATCTCAACTGCTTTTTTTTTTTTTTTTAGGTCAAGAGGCAACAAGTTAGCTCACCAAATACATATTCATGTACATCAACATATTAAAAAAGAAGTAACTCCCAAGAATCCTAATGAAAACCA